CGTAAACCGGTCTCTGGCTTCCTTCTAGTTCTTTACATTTTGTCTTTGAATTGTAGCTTAATGCGATACAAGAGTTTCCAGCAGACTGCCCTGCATGGCTTATAAAAGGGGCAAGACTGAGAACAAGAGGCTTTCCTGTTAAGCACATGCAGTCACCATGCCACACAGCGCAGATTAAGGACAACAAAAAGAGCTTCTTTGTTTTTGTGCTCCGTCCAGCCTCTTCTAAGTTCAAAAATTTTAAAGTGTAGATTGTACTTGTTGTGCAAAAAGGAATGTAACGGGTACTGAATCCCGACTCTTCCTGTATGACAGGAGATGGCAAGCTTATCAACAGGCTACAGGATATAGAAAAAACTTTTTCTATGGTATTTGTTTAAAGGAAAAGCTGGTTTACACCATAAAGGAGCATCCGAGCACATGTGTGTTTTTGCGTGTTCCTGTGCATTTAAGGTATCCATTAATTTCAATTGGCTGCCAAATGCATAAAAGGTAGTGCAGGCACAATTTTAAAAACTAAGTTGTACCAAACCACGTGGTACTGGGGTTACCATGAGTTTTGGTGGCCACAAATGCACACAAATGCGTGGAGGTGCCATTAAAAACAACAGCACCCACACACACACATCTGTGGAAGGCAGCACCTTTTGTTCGGTGCAGGAAAATGCACAATTTTGTGCACGCTCCCATACTACACCTGCTGTGAACAAGCCCTAAATGTCTCTTATTTATCCTCCATTGGTCTGGTAAATATACAAATGAAATAGTTTTGTTATCTATTCATTTAATAGATGTGTAAAATACCTGTGGATCCTACCAGATATCCAGTGATCTAATAACTTCCTGGGCTCTCTCAATGAAGTGTGGATAATGGGGGGGAGCTGACAGAAAATGTAGTGTGGACAGTGGTGAGAGAACTCCAGAAAATGTAGTGTGGACAGTGGTGAGAGAACTCCAGAAAATGTAGTGTGGACAGTGGTGAGAGAACTCCAAAGAATGTAGTGTGGACAGTGGGGGGAGAACTCCAGAGAATGTAGTGTGGACAGTGTGGGGGAGAACTCCAGAGAATGTAGTGTGGACAGTGGTGAGAGAACTCCAAAGAATGTAGTGTGGACAGTGGGGGGAGAACTCCAGAGAATGTAGGTGGACAGTGTGGGGGAGAACTCCAGAGAGTTTAGTATGGATAATGGGGGGAGAACTCCAGAGAATGTAGTGTGGACAGTGGGGGGAGAACTCCAGAGAATGTAGTGTGGACAGTGGGGGGAGAACTCCAGAGAATGTAGTGTGGACAGTGGGTGGAGAACTCCAGAGAATGTAGTGTGGACAGTGGGTGGAGAACTCCAGAGAATGTAGTGTGGACAGTGGGGGGAGAACTCCAGAGAATGTAGTGTGGACAGTGGGTGGAGAACTCCAGAGAATGTAGTGTGGACAGTGTGGGGGAGAACTCCAGAGAATGTAGTGTGGACAGTGTGGGGGAGAACTCCGGAGAATGTAGTGTGGACAGTGAGGGTTGAACTCCAGAGAATGTAGTGTGGACAGTGGGGAGGAGAACTCCAGAGAGTTTAGTATGGATAATGGGGGGAGAATTCTAGAGAATGTAGTGTGGACAGTGAGAGGAAAACTCAAGAGAATGTAGTGTGGACAGTGGGGACGAGAACTCCAGAGAATTTAGTATGGATAATGGGGGGGGGGGGGGTAATTCTAGAGAATTTAGTGTGGACAGTGAGGGGAGAACTCCAGAGAATGTAGTGTGGACAGTGGGGACGAGAACTCCAGAGAATTTAGTATGGATAATGGGGGGGGGGGGTAATTCTAGAGAATTTAGTGTGGACAGTGGGGGGAGAACTCCAGGAAATGTAGTGTGGACAGTGAGGGGAGAACGCCAGAGAATGTAGTGTGAACAGTGGGGGGGAGAACTCCAGAAAATGTAGTGTGGACTGTGTGGGGGAGAACTCCAGAGAATGTAGTGTGGACAGTGTGGGGGAGAACTTCAGAAAATGTAATGTGGACAGCTGGGGGGGGGGGAACTCCAGAGAATGTAGTGTGCATAGTGGGGGGGGAGAACTCCTGAGAATGTAGTGTGGACAGTGGGGGAGGGATCCAGAGAATGTAGTGTGGACAGTGGGGGGAGAACTCCAGTGAATGTAGTGTGGACAGTGGGGGGAGAACTCCAGATAATGTAGTGTGGACAGTGGGGGGAGAACTCCAGTGAATGTAGTGTGGACAGTGGGGGGAGAACTCCAGATAATCTAGTGTGGACAGTGGGGAAGAACTGCAGAGAATGTAGTGTGGACAGTGGGGGAGAAAACTCCAGAGAATTTAGATAGGATAATGGGGGGGGGGGGGGGGGGGGGGAGAATTCTATAGAATGTAGTGTGGATAGTGTGGGGGAGATCTCCTGAGAATGTAGTGTGGACAGTTGGGGGGGGGGGGGAGAACTCCTGAGAATGTAGTGTGGACAGTGGGGGGGGGGGGAGAACTCCTGAGAATGTAGTGTGGACAGTGGGGGGAACTCCAGAGAATGTAGTGTCGATTGGGGGGATAACTCCCGAGAATGTAGTGTGAACAGTGGGGGGACTCCAGAGAATGTAGTGTGTATGGGGGGGGACTCCAGAGAATGTTGTGTGGACAGGAGAGGGAAATATTGTAGAAAATGTAGTTTGGACAGTGGAGGTGGAGTTGCTTCAGAATGTAGTGTGGATGGTGGAGCAAAACTTGTAGAGAATGTAGTGTGGACAATGGGGGGGGGGGGGGGTGAGCGTGCAGAGAATGCAGGGTGGGCAGTGGGGTGCTATGGAAAGCTGCCAGAGAATGTAGTGTGGACAAAGGGGCATGAGATTGTAGAGAATGTAGTGTGGACAATGGGGCATGAGATTGCAGAGAATGTAGTGTGGACAATGGGGCATGAGATTGTAGAGAATGTAGTGTGGACAATGGGGCATGAGATTGCAGAGAATGTAGTGTGGACAATGGGGCATGAGATTGTAGAGAATGTAGTGTGGACAATGGGGCATGAGATTGTAGAGAATGTAGTGTGGACAATGGGGCATGAGATTGTAGAGAATGTAGTGTGGACAATGGGGCATGAGTTTGCATAGAATGTAGTGTGGACAATGGGGCATGAGATTGTAGAGAATGTAGTGTGGACAATGGGGCATGAGTTTGCATAGAATGTAGTGTGGACAATGGGGCATGAGATTGCATAGAATGTAGTGTGGGCAGTAGGGGTGGAGTTGCTATGGAACATAGCGGGATGGTAGGGAGGGAGCTGCCAGTGAATGTAGTGTGGATGGTTACGATATCTTCCAAAGAATGACATGTGGACAGTGGGGGGAAAGTTGACGAATAATGTAGCCTGAAAAGTGTAGGGAGAGCTACAAGATAATGTAGTTTGGACTGTGGGAGGGAAAGTTGTCAAATAATATAGCATGGAAAATTGGGAAAGGACTGACGGAATGTTATTTGGAAAGGGTAACCTGCTCCCAGAATAGTGTGGACAGGGGTAGCTGCTGAGGAATGTAGTGTGGATAGAAGGGAAAGTGTTATTAGAAACTGTAGTGGAAGACAAATAGATGGAGAACTGTTAGGTGGGCCAGAGGGCAGTAAAAAAACAGGCAGTTGGGTTGTGGTCTAAAACTTTCATACATCCACATAGGACTGTACACATGCTGTGGCCATGATGTTTTGCCACGCACCAAATTTACCATGACAGGTGGCAAAGCCTGTCAAACTTGCCCATTCAAGTCAATAGAGCATCACCACAACTGCAAGACAAGCACGGTCCATTTTAAATTGCCATTCAGCAAAAAAGACCAGAAATAAAAACAGACATTCAGGAGGTGGCTGGAATGTCTCTACCAGAGGGTGCCAATACTAAACTAATATGTACATGCCAGGCAGTGGCAGCGAAAGTTGCAATCTCTGAGGACTGAGGCTCACGTGTACTGTAAGTAGCTGATCAAAGCTGGAAGTCACATACGGCCGAATAAGGCTGAGAAATGTAAGTGCTCCTGTCAGGATAGACTAATTTGGACTAGAGGCCGCGCTGGACTGAATACTGACAGTTATTAGGTGGTTCGCCGGGTAAGTGGTGGAGTTGATCCCCTTTAGGAGGTTTGGGTTGTTACCTTACCGGTATGACAGAGCTGTCGCTTCAGTAGAAACAATGCTTGAATGAGAAGGATGGAGCGCCCGGTGTCCAAAATAATGCAACTCTTGGTGGAAGAATACTAACGTTCATTGAAAGCACGGGACAGATCAAGCCAACACGTTTCAGGGGAATTGCCTCCCCCACCATGCTGGTACGTGCTAACAGAGATGGATGGAATTTTTTTGTGTTGGCAAAAGCTGGCTCATGTATTGCAGAGGCAAAGGGACCCTGTCAGGATAGGAAATAGGATATAAAAAATGGCAGAAACTGTAGCTCTTCTCCATACTATCCAAAAACAAACAAAAAATCTTTTTGGAGTTAGCCTGTAAAATAAAAATTGTAACTGATAAAATTCCTTATGATGCTCTGCCACCCCCTTCTGTACATGAAAGTTGATCATTTTATAGAGATATTTAATATTTATGGCCTATCATTCATTTATGACCATCCTTTCATCATCCCATCCTGTCGTCTCTTTGTCTTCTACTGTTTAAAAGAGTAACAAATGTTATACATTGGTGCCAATGATACGGTAGTGGTAGTGATACCGTAGGCGTCATTCATGAATGGGCACTTCATGGATCTCTGCATTACAGATTCAACACAAACACCAGAAAAAAAAATTCTGGAAAGGAACATAAAATCCTTGTTTGAACGGGATGAAAGTGATTATTGAGCTATAAAAGAGATCAGTTTTCTTACCATGTGTGAAGGAGGGAGAGACATCTGAAGTCTGGACTGAGGAGTGGAAATGATCCGACCAGCTACAGAGACTTTGTTACAGAAACATCCAGGATGAGGTGAAAGTAGAATCTGTGACAGAACTTTTCTTTTCAAAGTGTTACTAAACCAAGGACCCCGCATTCACTATATCTGGTTTCCCACAGTACACAGAACATGGAAATGCAATTATTTTTGTAAATATAAACTGCTAAATACCTTTTCTCATCAGCAGTATATAGCAATCTTGTGATTTCTACCAGTGTTCAGCAGAGTACTTGTTAAAGCTTATAGGAGGAGTTTTCATTCTCCCCTGATTGTCCTATGTGGCTGCATAACACCTGACCCTCTGTTTGGACAGTGCTGATTGGCCCTATGCTAATCACATGCACTCTCCCAAGAAAAAAAAAATCTAGCCTTATACACTAAACTGAGCATGTGCAGGGTGACTCCTAGAGCTCTGTACTATCAGCAGATGGATTGGGGACAGTAGAAGAAGGGGATGATCAGAGAAGACAGGATCAAACAGCCCTTTTACACAATGTGAAGGATTAACCCCTTAGGTTCCTCAGTGAGTAGAACAAACACTTTACAGACTGATTTTACTGTTGTGGGTTTAGTTACACTTTAGGTTGCTTCTCTAATGACCTGCACATAGTTACAGTGGTTGTAAACCCTTACATATACCCAGTAAAGTGGCTGGTCTCAGGTGATACACAGAGATTAAAAAAATCCTCCTACATATGTTGTACCTGTTTATCTGCAGACTTCTAAAACTCACAGATCAAAGGTTATTACACAGTTCCAGCAGGTAGGGGGCGGGGATATGATGTCACACACTGCACAGCATAGAGCAGGGAGCTGAGTGTAATTTGAAACCTGAGTGGAGGGAATGGACACCCCCCCTCCCCACACAGTCAGGGAAACATGCACAGCTGAGGCTGTCAATTAACTTCTGTGTTTTAGGGGGGGGGGGTCATCCCCATCCTTCAGGGTTCTGTGGTATCCATAACCTGTCAGAAATGACTAATGCAGATAGTAGAGGGAAGCAAGAGCTTGTGTGCTTTGGATTGATGCTGGTGTATGCCATAGAAGGATATGCTGTGTTCATTTTTTATTTCAGAGATCTACAAGCACTTCAATGTATGACATAATATTTTATTGCGTATCCAGGGTATATCCAGATCACTGTGGGTATGTCCTTATCTAGTAGAGAGGCTTCATAGAGGAGATTTACTAAAGATGTAATTTTCATTCATAGTAAAATGAATCATTGTTCACTTTAACCACATAAGTGCCAGCCCTTTATTATTAAAAAAATAAGAAAAGAGTGCTCAGGTGATCTGTGGACAAGGTGCTCAGGTGATCTGTGGACAAGGTGCTCAGGTGATCTGTGGACAAGGTGCTCAGATGAACTGTGGACAAGGTGCTCAGGTGATCTGTGGACAAGGTGCTCAGGTGATCTGTGGACAAGGTGCTCAGGTGATCTGTGGACAAGGTGCTCAGGTGATCTGTGGACAAGGTGCTCAGGTGATCTGTGGACAAGGTGCTCAGGTGATCTGTGGACAAGGTGCTCAGGTGATCTGTGGACAAGGGGTTTAGAAGGGATGAATATCTTGCAGTTGGAATTTAACAGAAAAACCTGGCCTAGAAAGAGGGAGGTTTTTGAGTACAGACAGAAAAGCTTCACTAACTGCAGTATGCATTCAAGATATATGGCGTTCTTTGCCCCGTGACTTGCTATGCATGGGTTGGACAACGTGACCTTTGGGTTTGGATTTGGAAAACACAAGCATATTATAGTTAGTAAGGTTGCCAAACAATCGACCTATAGGTACTTTGATAAATGTCATAGACCTAGCATGGAATTTCTGAGAGTTTCTAGGATTGAAGCAAGGCCTCTACGTGTTAGAGAGGTTCTCCCAAGGAGACCAAGCTGAAGCCATTTTTCATTAATAGGAGCTCACTATATTGGGAGGCAATGTTTGGACGGGGGTCGTTTTGTCATAGTCCTTTTGGCAGCTATGGCAGCCCATTTATGGGTATTTCAGCCATATATTAAGGTGTTTGACAGGGGTTTAGCTTTAGTCTCACAACTGTATCCTTAAATTAGAATTACCAAAAACTTTTTTTTTAATTTCAGATATAAGATTATAACCCATCAACTTTTTGCCATCTGTGTCTCATTGTTGAGATTTCCCTTCACCTCCTGTCCCATAAACAAATCAGGAAGTGAGAAGAAGTCCCTCAAAGTAAGGGAATCCCTGGCTGTCTCCAGCTTTACCTGGACTAGTGTCCCCATTGGCAGTGCCGGGATTGGGGGGGGGGGCCTAAGCGGCATGTGCCCCAGGTGCAGTGTGCCAGCATGGTGGGTAACACCAGTGAGCTGCTGCAGTGTTGGTGATTTCTAGCACTGGGCATCCAGGGAATTTGCCTGCATCTCCTCCCATGTGCCCCTACAGCAGACAGCGCCTCTTCCTGCCAGCTGCAAGTTTTAACAGCAGTTAACATCAGAGCAAAGGAAGCTTCCTCTGGGCTCCTCCTTGGCTCTGATGTATCCTATGAAGGAACACAAGGAGTGGCCCAGGAGGAAGGACAACTACTGGCACTGAGGTCTGTGCTGGGAGTGGGGATTTGGCAGAAGAGCATTTGCACTAAAGGAAAAAGGCCGGGGTTGGAGGGGGATTCATTTCAGAAAGGTGGATTGGGGGGATGAAGGAGTATTTGTGCTTGGGGAGAGGAAGTTTTTTGGCCTAAAAAAGGGATTTAGGGGGAAGGTAGAGGATTTATGCAGGGAGGGGAGGGGGGTTTATGCTGGGAGAGGGGATGGGAGGTATTTGTGCTAGAAGGGGGAGAGGATTTGTGCCTGGAGTGGGGATTTGGAGGGGTAGAAGTGTATTTATGCAAGGAGGGTGGATTTGTGCTGGAAGGGTGGATTGGGAGAATTTGTGATGGAGGTCATTTTGGAGGGGAAGAGAATTGGTACTAGAAGGGTTATTGAGGGGGTTGTGCTGGGAGGGAAAGAGGATTTATACTGGGAGGGGGGAATTGGAATGGATAAGATCCATGCTAGAAGGGGGGAAAGCCTGACATCGTCCCCTTGGGCTCTGGAGGACCTTGTCCTGGCACTGCCCATTGGAAGGTTTCCCCTCTATTCCAGTTCTGATGACAACTCAAAGTTTGGGATTTTCTTTCACTTTTACTCTCAGTGGTAATGATAAAGAGGGGAAATCTCCCTATCAGGAGTACAGACAGCAATAAAAACCTGACAGGGATTCTGATCTTTCTCCATTCTATCCAAAACTGAAAATAAAAAAGTTTTGCCTGTAGTTACACTTTAAAATGAGGAAAGCAGATTGTATATGAGTTATTAGTTTTCTTCTTCATTCGATCCAAATCTGATTTCAAACATTAAAGGAGTCTCCCGGAGCTCTGTATATGGATATAACTGTAGACATGTAGCACTACTCCCGGAGGGGCCCCTTGTATTTTTGCCCAGGCTTCCCCTTTCTTCGCCCCGCAGCCAGGCACAAGGTATTTTCCACAGGCAGATACACACTCTTTCGCTCATTGTCTTCAATGACCAGTCTTAGGGGATGTTTGTTTTTAGGGTTTTATTGTAGAACTGGGGATAGGGATGGGGAATTTAGTAGGATACTCAAAAATTAGAACTATTCACAACTGAGGACATTTAGCTGATCTCTTAGTTGAGCACTTTTGAAGTCCTGGCTGAAAGTAAATAGCAGACTTTCTGTTAAATGGTAGTAACAAGCTGGTTAGGAGTGAGCAAAGTCCATTTAGCAGTAGTAGTAGTTGCAGAGCTGAGCTCCTCAGGTACAGGCCTGTTACAGCAGACTGTGGCAGTCCAAAAGTGATACAACTTAGCAATAGTTAAACAAGCTCTTCAGAACACCAGCCAGTGTTTCCTTTTCTCAGACCCACGCAGACTATTACACACCAGAGGGTAGCAAGCACACAGAGTCGCCAAGATCTTTCAATGTCAGTACTCACAAGGACAGAATGGTTGCCTCCTTCCAATCTTCTCTCTCTCCTGTGATACCAGACAGATCTTTGGTAGACAGCTCCCCTCAGTCAGCTTACTGTAGAACCATGGTCACTATTTCCAACTTCAGGCCCTCAGCTTGCCCACCCGAGGCCTACATGGCAGCAAGTGCCAGGAGAGGCAAGTCTGCCTCCAGCCCGGTTTGTTGCAGTCCTCTCCCAGGAAAGATGCTGAACCCATAAATACCACTTCCAGCATGCAATGGGGCCACCCTCCCCTGCAATTGGCCAGGGCTGTATCCATATTCATGCTGCTCATTTGCCTAGTTCCCTCCCAGGTTCTGGAAGGCTCTAGTTGCTTTCAAAAGGCAGGCAGAACTCAAGGCAAACTCAGCAGCATGTCAAGGTCCTACCTTTCCCCAGAGACTGTGCGGCTTCATGTACTGGCGTCCATCTTGGGTTTCTGCAGAGCATGGTGGGAGTCTTTTATGCCTTCAGGTCTCTGAGGTCCATCCTCCAGAGGGGTGTGGCTGAGTACATATAAGCCTGTGACCCGCACATGCTCCTTGCACTTGTGTCTTGTGTCTTTGTGTAGCTACAGCTCTGTGTATACTCTCGTGACTCTTCTGGTATCTGACTCGGCTTGTGACTAGACCATTCTCTGTTCTCTGTGTTCCTTTGATCTGACCTTCCGTTGCTCAACCCGGCCCGTGACCTGTGATTCTCTGTCTACTGTTCTGTACTGTTTTGTCCTGTTGTTGTCGACCCGGCCTGCCTGACTACGCTATTGTCATTCTTACCAGCTCCACGCCATTGGCGGCGGACATTACCGCAGCCGGGGTGTCTCGGGGGCTGCGACCTGGTTCCTGGCTGTGTCAAGTCCATCCCCACCATCAGGGGCCCTGGTGAAGGGCAGCCTGGGACTTAGACTCCATGCCCTGAGGGACTTCGGTCTGTTGGTGGTGTGGTTGTCGTCAGTCAGTGCATTACCCTGCCACTAGGCCTACCTGTCCGTTCCACAGCCCCGCCCTGACACAGCACCAGAGCATCATGAGCAGACCTGACTAATCCATCACAGCACTCTGTTAAGCAGGGGAGCCCAACTAGAACTTCCTAACAGCCTTTCTGGTAAGCAGAGAAGCACAGCTATGCTTATCCTTTTAATTGTTGGTGAGGGGCGCACTGGATACCTTGGCTGCCATTGTGCTACATGCTGGGTGTCCAGTGCGCTCCTGTACCTTTAAGGAGGGGTGGGCTCCTTCAGGTCCATCTGTCCTTGGTCTATCCATTAAATACATGTGCCTCTACTATGGGGACTAATTGGAGAGTTGAGAACTACAGAATATTGGGGTGCCGTGACGAGGCTCTGTAGATTACGGATGTATTTGCAAATGTGTGCTAACTAAACCCGTGTTTTTACCGCATACTGTTAGACAGGCTATATCAGTTTGTTTGCAGGCTGGTTGGTAAGCTGAGCCGGGAATTTTTCTTCTTTGTTGTTTGAGATGCGTCACCCTTCCATGTGCTCTTTACTGTGTAGGCCAGTTATAGACTGGGGCAGTAGCCATTTTTTGTATGCTTATCCTAACTATACAAATCTTGGCTTCTGACTAGGAGGGTGTCACAGACAGAGCTTTATGGGAACAAGAAGAATTCTGATTTTCTTTTCACACACCCAATAGATACTTTGTAACCTTTACAGGGTACAGAAACAAGTTAGGCATTAGATTTTATTTATGAAGTTGAAGATTTTGCTGCCCTGTCACATTATCAGATTTGTTTGTTTAAAAGAAAATAGACAGGTCAGACCTTTAATCAACATTTCTTTTCCTTTTTATTAAGTGTCTGAGAGTGTTGCGCCTCAGAAATTACTCATCTGCAATAATCGCATTCCTGCCACATTGTCAGGGGGGACCACATGTCCGCTCCATCTGCCGCACGCTGACATAAACTTGGGGCTTTGTGCTCAAGAGTAGCCACTGGTTACTGTAATTCCTCTGAAAGCGAGAGAGAAACATGGCACAGCTGATGTCAGCCCTACAGCAAATAAACGAAAACAGTGCAACAGTGGCGGGAGGTCTATATAACACTGACATGCATCAAAGCAGTATTACAATGTGAAATCAAAAGCAAACATTTAATATATCGCAGCTTACCAATTCATAGATGCGATGACTGCATTCGTTTTTCTTTCTTTGGGCTTTCTTTTATTTTCACCTGGTGCAGGGGCGGACTGACAACTCATGGGGCCCCCCAGGCAATAGGGGATCATGGGGCCCCTGTGTCCTTGCCCAAACTCAAAAAGCCTATGAAAAAGGTACCAGGGGTATCTCATGGGCCCCCTACTGACCCCGGGCCCTCGGGCAGTGCCCAAGTTTCCAAATGGTCCTGACGAAGCTGAGTGAGATACGCCCATCGGCGAAACGCGCTGACGTCATACGTCAGATACGTCACTTCCGGTCATGCGCACTAGGTGGAACGCACGCTGACCTACAAGGAGGAAGCCATCTTCACATGCCACGAGGCAAGCTTAAGCAGCACAGGCGCCGAGAAGAGGTCGGAACCCGCGGTATGTCGGCTGATGTCAGGGGTGGTTCCCTGGCCTCTTTGGCCTTGTAAGGCAGTTAGCAAGTACCTATGAAGGACATCTCTTCCTCTCCTATTATCCATTGCGCAGGTGGTGAGTGGGACTGTTAGAGGATACTAGTTATATGGTCTTATGTGATCGATATGACCTACACATCTTATATAGAGTGAAAGCTCTTCCAGTGACTTTCCCACATATTGTCTGTTTCACTACAGGATGGGGACATCATGGTGCTTTTTATAGGAAACAGGATATATCACATGTATATCTCAACAGGCAGAAGATCTATTGGGATTCGTCTTGTTCTCCTTACAGAAAGTGGTGTGTAGTCCACATATAGTGGTGAAGAAACCATTTCAAGCAGTGCTCTGCTATTTGCATCTATCCTTCCATCCTGGTAACAAATGGGGCTTATTCTCATTTAAGAGCCCTAAGGAAACAGTCGCTTATACTACAGATGAATGGGCCCCAACCACATGTGCCGGCATAGGAGTGTACTGCATTTTATATATGACATTCATTTTTTGTCTCATATAGGCCTAGAGGCATGCCTCTCTTTTTGACGCATACTGTGCTTGCTGCATTGCATACATGTGATATTTTATATCTATAGTATAAGTTTAGATACTCCTTGCTTAGGATATAACCATTTTGGTAGTAGCACATGTCTACATATCTACAACATGCTACATAGTATACCTATGGTATAATTTTTGCATACACCTCCTGTAGGAAGTGTTCACTTGTGCGCCAGTGCCACAAAGACTTTAGACTCAAGTAGTCACTGTCTTTGTTGCACATATATTTGGACCGGTCTTGGTGTCATTTTATATGGTTTTAGGTCTGTGTGTATTGTCTCATACTGAGGTGATGGTAAACCAGGGCGATTGCCCAAATGTCAAATTTGTATATGTAATAAAGCATAATTTTTGGAAATTTTTCTGAGTATCACATTCTGTTCATAATGTAGCCACTTTCTCTGTGAATTTCTTTTCACAACCCCCCTTTTTTGCGTATCTCATGGGGCCCCCTACTGACCCCGGTGCCCGAGTTTCCAAATGGTCAGTCCGCCCCTGACCTGGTGATGTGGCCGTGACTTTTCAGCAGAACAAGCTGTCCAGCAAATGTATTAGTTAAAGTGTTACTAAACACAGGACCCTGCATTCACTATATCTGGTCACCCCGGACCCTGCATTCACTATATCTGGTCTCCCTGGACCCCGCATTCACTATATCCGCTCTCCCCAGACCCCGCATTCACTATATCCTCTCTCCCCGGACCCCGCATTCACTATATCCGCTCTCCCCGGACCCCGCATTCACTATATCCGCTCTCCCCGGACCCTGCATTCACTATATCTGGTCACCCCGAACCCTGCATTCACTATATCTGGTCTCCCCGGACCCTGCATTCACTATATCCGGTCTCCCCGGACCCTGCATTCACTATATCTGGTCTCCCCGGACCCCGCATTCACTATATCTGGTCTCCCCGGACCCTGCATTCACTGTATCTGCTCTCCCTGGACCCCGCATTCACTATATCCGGTCTCCCCAGACCCGGCATTCACTACATCTGGTCTACCACAGCACACATAACATGGAAATGCAATTATTTTAGTAAATATAAACTGCTAAATACCTTTTCTCATCAGCAGTATATAGGAGTCTTGCGACTTCTATCAGTATCCAGCAGAGCACTGGTTAAAGCTTGTAGGAGGAGTTTTTATTGCCCCCTGATTGTCCTGTGAGGCTGCAAAACCCCTGACCCTCTGGACAGTGCTGATTGGCCCTGTGCTGATCACATGCACCCTGCCAAGAAAAAAAAAAAAAACCTCTGTAGCAATACACACCAAGCCGAGCATGTGCAGCTTGCCCCCAAGACTCTGTTCTATCAGCAGATGGATTGGGGACAGTAGAAGAAGCAGATGATCAGAGAATACAGGATCAAATAGCCTTTTTACACAATGCAGAGGATTAACCCTTTAGGTTCCACAGTGAGTATAACAAGCATGCTTTATTATATATACCGACTGATTTTACTGCGGTGGGTTTAGTAACACTTTAAAGTGGTTGTAAAGGCTCAAGGTTTTTTTTTACCTTCATGCAGTCTATGCATGAAGGTAAAAAAACCACCTGTGTGCAGTAGTGAGCCTTACCTGAGCCTCATCGAGATCCAGCAATGTGTGCCTCGGCTGTCCCAGGTCTTTGCCTCCTCATTGGCTGAGACAGCAAGCGGGAGCCATTGGCTCCCACTGCTGTCAATCACAGTCAGTCAGCCAATGAAGAGAGAGGGGGCCAAGTCACAGCTCCGTGTGTGAATGGGCACACGGAGCAGCGGGTTCCCCCATAGCAAGCTGCTTGCTATGGGGGCACCCAACAGAAAGGAGGAGCCAGGAAAGCCTGCGGGGGACCTGAGAAGAGGAAGATCGGGTCTGCTCTGTGGAAAATCACTGCACACAGCAGGTAAGTAAAACATGTTTGTTATTTTACAGAAAAAAAAATTAACCGTTAGTGTCGCTTTAAGCGCGTTGCGACAAACAATTAACCACAGACAGGGGTGCTTACAATGATAAGCTTTTATTTATTTGGGAGGAGTTATGCAAATATCAAAAACACATGATGAGTGGGTGTCAGTCTGAAGGAGTGAGCTTTCCTGCACAGACTACATTTACAGTGGGGATCGAAAGTTTGGGCACCCCAGCTAAAAATTTGTATTAATGTGCATAAAGAAGCCAAGGAAAGATGGAAAAATCTCCAAAAGGCATCAAATTACAGATTAGACATTCTTATAATATGTCAACAAAAGTTAGATTTTATTTCCATCATTTACACTTTCAAAATAACAGAAAACAAAAAAATGGCGTCTGCAAAAGTTTGGGCACCCTGCAGAATTTATAGCATGCACTGCCCCCTTTGCAAAGCTGAGACCTGCCAGTGTCATGGATTGTTCTCAATCATCGTCTGGGAAGACCAGGTGATGTCAATCTCAAAGGTTTTAAATGCCCAGACTCATCTGACCTTGCCCCAACAATCAGCACCATGGGTTCTTCTAAGCAGTTGTCTAGAAAACTGAAACTGAAAATAGTTGATGCTCACAAAGCTGGAGAAGGCTATAAGAAGATAGCAAAGCGTTTTCAGATATCAATATCCTCTGTTCGGAATGTAATTAAGAAATGGCAGTCATCAGGAACAGTGGAAGTTAAAGCAAGATCTGGAAGACCAAGAAAAATATCAGACAGAACAGCTCGCAGGATTGTGAGAAAAACAATTCAAAACCCATGTTTGACATCACGATCCCTCCAGAAAGATCTGGCAGACACTGGAGTTGTGGTACACTATTCCACTATAAAGAGATACTTGTACAAATATGGTCTTCATGGAAGAGTCATCAGAAGAAAACCTCTTCTACGTCCTCACCACAAAAATCATCGTTTGAACTTTGCAAATGAACATATAGACAAGCCGGATGCATTTTGGAAACAAGTTCTGTGGACTGATGAGGTTAAAATTGAACTTTTTGGCCGGAATGAGCAAAGGTACGTTTGGAGAAGAAGGGGCACAGAATTTAATGAATAGAACCTCTGTCCAACTGTTAAGCATGGGGTTGGATCAATCATTCTTTGGGGTTGTGTTGCAGCCAGTGGCACAGGGAACATCTCACGAGTAGAAGGAAAAATGGATTCAATAAAATTTCAGCAAATTTTGGATGGTAACTTGATGCCATCTGTGAAAAAGCTGAAGTTAAAGAGAGGATGGCTTCTACAAATGGATAATGATCCTAAACACACCTCGAACTCCACGGGGGATTACATCAAGAGGCGTAAACTGAAGCTTTTGCCATGGCCTTCACAATCTCCTGACCTCAACATAATTGAAAATCTATGGATAGACCTTAAAAGAGCAGTGTGTGACAGACAGCCCAGAAATCTCAAAGAACTGGAAGACTTTTGTAAGGAAGAATGGGCAAAGATACCTCAAACAAGAATTGAAAGACTCTTGGCTGGCTACAAAAAGTGTTTACAAGCTGTGATACTTGCCAAAGGGGGCAGTACAAGATATTAACTCTGCAGGGTGCCCAAACTTTTGCAGACGCCATTTTTTTGTTTTCTGTTATTTTGAAAGTGTAAATGATGGAAATAAAATCTAATTTTTGTTGACATATTATAAGAATGTCTAATCTGTAATTTGATGCCTTTTGGAGATTTTTCCATCTTTCCTTGGCTTCTTTATGCACATTAATACAAATTTTTAGCTGGGGTGCCCAAACTTTCGATCCCCACTGTACATGTAGACCACCCTAGGTAATGTACATATGCAGGGCTGCTGTCAAAAACCATGTGGTCCATACCCCAACACAGTTTACTATGCTTCAATTATGAACAAACACAGTGAGTGATCGGTACCAGTCACTCATTGTGTTCATTCAGGGGGAAAAAGGGGCTGACAAATGTGACATATTTACTGGACCCTTCCCCCACTCTCCATCCTTAAGGATCCTATTGTGTGCCTGCAGCTGCTGGTTGGAAGGAGAGAAAGGAAGCTGGTAGCACTATGGGGGTAGGGGCACACAGAGGAGTCTGGGCAGCAGGGAGAAATGTATGGTGCACAGGGAGGGTGATGGGTGCACCGAAGGGGGCAATTACTGGTACTGATCCCCGTATGACTCCCTCTGCAGCGGCTGAAAGCCAGTGGGAGGGAGAGGAGAAGAAGCCGGCTTTCAGCTGCTGCAGAGAGAGCCATAAAGGGGATCGGTTCCAGTAACTGCACCGCTGCTGTACCAATCGCCGGCCCTGACCATATCCGATTCACCTAATTTCCCGGGTCCTCCTGCTGGCCTGGGCCCCATACAAGAGGACTGGTGGTAGCCCTTTATCCATGGCCCTGTCCACGTGTGATGCTGAGCTTCCATGATTGAAAGAACTGAAATCCAATAAATGAAAGGGATGGGGCCAGGGACACTGAGGTTGGGGAGGAAAGGTCCAGAATATGAGGAAATGAGGCGGAGCTCTATCTGACTTGCTGCATCTTCTAATGCACATTGTGTGAAGCTCACAGCATGCAGTGAAATCAGAATAAGCAACTCCATTACCAGAGAGGGAGACTGAACCTGTGCAGCTGTGAAAGACTTAGGCTGCATTCACACTTGAGTGTTTTGTAGCTTGAAGCTCCAAAAAAGCTCAAACTTAAAAAATCTATTGTTCTCTATAGTACCTGTTCACACCTGATCACAGGAACAGGCACCATAGAGAACAAAGCACTCAAGTGTGAATGCAGCCAGGAGTTCAGCTTAAAACATTTTTTTGGAGTTGACAGAGCCGCTTTAACGGAAAGAAAATGTTCAATTTCGGGACATGTTGAAGAGGCAGATAGAGTTTACTTTTAATTTACAACTTTAATAGTTTTAATGCAGACCAGTCTCCCTTTCCTCTGCCATTTAAGTCATTTTTCACTCAGCACTTCCGACGTGATCTTCTGTCTGAGTCGTTGTCTGAAAGAAAGGCAGTTATGGTTCAATCCGACAAACTTTTGTGTAGCCCCTAACTGCCCATTCTTCCCGCCCATTCATCAGGGTAAATTGGCTTCCTTGTTGATCCCAGTATCTATGGCTTCTATCAGTGCTGCCATTGTTGTACCCACAATGTCCCTGGAGTCGGCTGGGTGCAGCCTTGCTCTTTTCTTGCTGGTTTTCCCATCACTTCTTACAGCAGTCCCCATGATGCCATCTGATTCACATCTTGTGTGCATCGGTCAAGAAAATCCCGGCCGGTGCCTCGCTGTGGTAAATAGCCGGCATATTAAGCACAAAGTGCGCTGACATCAGCTGTTGCCGATCGCCATGACTACGGCCTCCCCCCCTTTTCCCCGTCTGAGTTGCATGGAGCATTTAAATAGGTAAACAAAGTTTTTAGTATGCTTGGTGTGAAAACGGCCCAACAATAGGGAATAAAAAGAGACTTTCTGAGGCCGTGAATGCCGGTGGCATGACCTTGGAGGAAAAGTGACTTTAAAAAGTCAAATAGAGCAAAGGAAGCATTGTAAGTGGGACATGTCCAGCGGATTGGAAGCTTTGCACGGTCTGGCTTAAAGTCTCGCCCCGGCGAGGTCACGTGGTTATTATCGTCGGTTCACGACAAAAACTTAACAATCGCTCTGCAACTTATTTTCTCTCTCTTTTGGGAAAAAGAACATTTTCAAAGTAGTTTGTGCACTGAACGTAAAGCAGAACTCTCTCAGTCAACAAGCACTATTTCTAATCCATATGCTGCTAGTATTAGTAAATAGATAGGAAGGCAGAGTGTGCAAGAAAAGGTATGTGAACTTGCCAAGCACCTAACGCTGACTCCATGCATGCTTTGCATCAGCTCTTTCTCTTCTGTTTCTTCTGAACAGGCTGGTGACCTCTGTGGTGTTGATCTTCTATGAGAGATGGACCGCTTATGGAGAGAGTGCCGACAACATCTCCCTCTTTGCAAACAAGCTATCCCACCTATAATAGGTACACGCTTAACGACAGGTTGCTAAAACTGACTGTTGGCTTCCATCACCCATGGTAACCAGTTGCTGTTTGCTGCACTGTATTATACCTTGCAATACTGTCTTCATATCCAAATGTGCTACTGACCTATGTGTGGTTACTTGTCATCAGGGGCGGACTGACCATTCGAGAACTCGAGCACTGCTCGAGGGCCCGGGGTCAGTAGGGGGCCCCATGAGATGCCCCTGGCACATTTCATAAACTTTTTTGGGTGTGGTTTGAGTGTGGGCGAGGACAGAGGGGCCCCATGATCCCCTATTGCCCGGGGGCCCCATGAATTGTCAGTCCACCCCTGCTTGTCATATACCCCTACAGTACCTTCAGACCAGGAAAAGGCAAAGTTCCAAACATTACAGAGTCCAAATACAATACAGTACTTTCCTAACATCCCTAACTCAGGCTTGTTGGCTGCCCCGGGATACCTGCATAGGCAAAGTCCATAC